CTGTCTAGAACAAAGGAATCGTGTTAGGTGGGAGTGGGACAGAAGCTTGGAAAATCATAATGGCTTTCATTTATACAAAGCTTGATAGTTTAGAGAGTATTTTGCACACAATGGTATATTTATCACAACCCAGGGAAGTGGTAGTATAAATACTTGGAGTTCCATTTTATAGATGAAAAAACTGAGACTCAGAGGGATAAAAATGACATGCTGAAAGTCACACAATTAAAGAAGTGGAAAGTAAATCCAGGCCTTCTGATAATCAAGTCCAGCACCTGTTTCACTAAACTCCACAGGCAGCCTTGAAAGTCAGGTAAAGGAGAAACTAATGGGAGAATCATGTAATCAGATCTATGACTTCCCAAAGACGGTACTGCTAAATTACCCTTACCAAAAAAGAATCTTCTTAGACTGCAAAGATAGCAGAAAGTCTACCCAAGGAAGAGGATGTGAGGACAACCAATCTTATATTTCAACAAATGATGGGTGATCTACTGACGAAAGGAAAAACCAAATATTCTATATTCTCTTGTGAAGGACGACTTAATTAGCAGTTTTAAAAATTCATAAGCCTTAAAAGGTTTGCCAAGAGATTCGGAATTTAAATCCATATCTGGCTTTTAGCTCTGGATTCTCTATGCGATCTCACATGCTGATATGAATGGCAACCATATGATATGGCAGATAGAGGGCTGGGCTTGGACTCAGGAAGATCTGAGTTCTAATCCTACCACAGTCGCTTATTAGATCTGTGACCCTAGGCAAGTGACAACCTTCCTCAACTTCAGTTGCTTCATCTGTAAAAATGGGATAACAATAGCATTTACCTTATAGGGTTGTTGTGAGCAAGTCAAATGACATGTAAAAGTGCTTTGTAAACCTTAAGGCACTAAAATAAATATAAGCTATCATTAATAAATTTCACTAAATTTAGTCATAGCATTATTATAGGACTAAGAACCAGAAGGGGCTTTAGAGATCATTTAGTCTAATCTCCTGATTTTGCTTAAATTTAATTAATTAATTTATTTTTAGTTTTCAGTGTTCACTTCCATAAGATTTTGTCTTTTCAATTTTCTCCCCTTCCTTCCCCAAGACAGCACACAATCTGATATAGGCTCTACATACACATTCATATTAAATGTATTTTCACATCAGTCATGTTATAAAGAAATATTGGGACCAATGGGAGGAACCACGAGAAAGAAGAAACAAAACAAACCAACAAAAGAAAAAATAGATTAAGTAGCATGCTTCAATCTGCATTCAGATTCCAAAGTTCTTTCGCTGGACATGGATAGCATTATCCATCATGAATCTTTTGGAGTTGTCTTAGATCCTTGCATTGTTGAGAAGAGCCGAGTCTATAAAAGTTAGTCATTGCACAAAGTGGCTGTTACTGTGTACAATGTTCTCCTGGTTCTGCTCACTTCATTCAGCATCAGTTCATGTAAGTATTTCCAAGTTTTTCTGAAGTCCACCTGCCCATTATTTCTTATAAGACAATAGTATTCCATTACATTCATATACCACAACTTGTTCAGCCATTCCCCAATTCATGGGCATCTCCTCAATTTCCAATTCTTGGCCACCACAAAAAGAGCTGCTATAAACATTTTTGTACACATGGGTCCTTTTCCCACTTTTATGATCTCTTTAGGGTACAGACCTAGAAGTGGCATTGCTGGGTCAAAGGGTATGCATAGTTTTATAGCCCTTTGGGCAAAGTTCCAAATTGCTCTCCAGAATGGTTGGATCAGTTCACAATTCCACCAACAATGCATTAGTGTTCCAGTTTTTCCGCATCTTCTCCAACATTTCTCATTTTTCTCTTTTGTCATGTTAGCCAATCTGAGGTGTGATGTGATACCTCAGAGTTGTTTTGATTTGCATTTCTCTAATCAGTAGCGATTTAGAGCATTTTTTCATATGACTATAGATAGCTTTAATTTCTTCATCTGAAAACTGCCTGTCCATATCCTTTGGCCATTTATCAATTGGGGAATGACTTGTATTCTTATAAAGTTGACTCAGTTCTCTATATATTTTAGAAATGAGGCCTTATCAGAGACACTGTTGTAAAAATTGTTTCCTAGCTTTTTGCTTTTTGCTTCCCTTCTAATTTTGCATTGGCTTTGTGCAAAAACTTTTCAATTTGATGTAATCAAAATCATCCATTTTGCATTTCATAACCTCCTGATCTTACAGGTGAGAAAAGTGACACCCAGAAAAGCCAAGTGATTTACCTAAGGTGATTCAGGCAATAAGCAGACCCCAATTCCTCTCACCCAAAATTCAGTATACTTCCTACTGTATTGTGCTGCAAGAGACCTGGATTTCATTTCAGGTTCTTCTATTGTATGGTCTTAGACATTAAAATTTTCTGGATGTCTGTTTCCTTGTTTTTTTAATGACTAGATTGATTGGACTGAATTCTGCTGTCATGTTGCCTCTAGTACCTGTAAAATGTTTCCAAGGTAGAAGCCCTGTTTGTCCTCTAAGTGTAATGATTTGCTTGGTGCCCTGCTCTCATGTCCTCTGACCTTGGAAGTGAGGGGCACTTAATCCTCATATGCAAATTCATCCCTACTTCAGAGTCTGGGACCCATTCTGTCCCTTGTCATTATCTCTAGGAAGCTCAACAGTCTAGTTCAAAGTTAGTCTTGCTAATGGTTCCTTCTACTTGAGCTCTGGTACTTGACTACATGTACTGTACCTCCTCTAATGTCATGCCTGGCTCCCTGTCTAATACTCCCCAGTTCCTTTGAGATTGGGGTCCTGTCTTGGCTCCTTCCCCATGGCCCCAGTCCTTTAAAGGAATGGAGTTCTTTCCTGAGCCTTACATCCTAGAATGGAAGGAGTACCAAACTAGGAACCAGGCTCTCACCTAGTAGCTGTTTGATCATGAGCAGGTCACTTGAATTCTTAAAGCCTAGATTTCTCATTTCTGAAATGAAGATAGTAATTAATACCAGTGCTGCTTAACAGAATTTTCATGGGAAAGGTGCTTTATAAACTTTCACTGTGTGAAACTACGTAAATGTGAGCTTGTTATTTCTTATTACATATTACATAGAGCCACAGAAACAATTATTAGTATTGTTACCTGAAGATCCTGATGTCAAATGCTTTCCTTGCTGGACTCCTATTGCTTGTGACTTGAACCTACCCCAGTCACTTCCTCTGACCTTGTGGGTTTGTTTAAATAATGGGTTATGGCCATCTCAAGTCTGACTCATCCAACTGAATTTTGGTTATGAGACAGTGTGAAGTTTATATGTCATGGTAATTCATAGTGTACCCTCTAGCGTTGTATGGATATGTCTCTCAAACTGCTAAGGTCAGCCTGTCAAGACTTTAAATAAGTTTTTCTTAGGGGTATACATTCTCAGGTGGTCCTAAAAATGCTCCATTCACTTTATGGGATGTATTTTTTTTATTGTCATACATTGAGAAAAGTAACTGGGAAATGCTCTTTTCTTTGGCACAGTGGTGATGGGAATTTAATGCTTTTTTTTAAGCAACAAACAGCAAAACACTAAAATCTTATAGCTAAGCAACATTCATGGTCTGCCAATCCCCCTGTATTCACTTATGGTCTGAAATAACTTTATTGTTAGTGATACACTCCAGAACAGGGAGACCAGAATATTGGAAATAAGAGTGTAGGAGGATCAGTTAGTTGAAGGAACTGAGGATGTTTAGTCAGAAGACAAAACTTAGCAGTTCTGTGATAGCTATTTTCAAGTGTCTGAAAATCTGTGATGTTAAAGAAGGATGAGATTTATTCTTCTTAGGTCTGAAAGGCAGAACCAGAAGCAGTGGGTAGAAGTTGCACAGAAATAGACTTTAGCTCAATGTAAGGAAAAAAAAATTATAGTTAAAGCTATCCAAAAAGGAAATAAATAAATTGCCCAGAGAGGCACCGGATTACCTGTTACAGGAGGTCTCCAAGGGGCCTTCGGATGACCACCTGTCAGAGATGTCATAGAAGGGATTCCTAATCAGGTATGGTTTGGACTAGATGTCTGAAGCCCCTTCAAAATTTAGCATAATCCATGTATGCATTTCTACGCTAATAGGCAAGTAATATATCTGTGGAAATTTACAAAATGAGAAACATACAACAATATTTGTACATTTAACTAAATTAATGTTAATGAAGAGAAGACTGAAGAGATCAAAATCAATGACATTGATGCTTCTCACCCACTGCTTTGATTCTCTAACATCACCTAATAGTAAGTAGGAGGACGCAGAGGCAAAGAACACGTCTCCAAGATTTTATTCTTCCGGGCAGGTTTTCCTCCTTTGTAAAGGGGGAGAAGTTATCTAGCACAGTATATCAAGGAACCCTGCTGATGCTAACACTGCTGAGCTGAGTAGCCTTTATGAGGACAAAGTATGGCCCTAGAGTGAACATTTTAAGGCCCAGTTGCCTCCCTTTCCTTGGCTTAGTTGGACTTTCTTGGGAGAGCCTCACTCCACACCAGATGATTCATGTGGTTTACCAATAGCACCTCCTGAGACAGATGGCCTATTACATTTGCTCTACATCCCTCATCAGGCATCACTCTGAAGGCCAGAGCCACTCTTCTGAATGGCCCAAATTATGAGTTCACATGGGTATTGAACATGAACAGGAAAGTTAAGGCCTCATCCTCCCAAAATGTGGAAAATCAGGTCAAGGGAGATGAGATTAAGGGAATGATGCTTGTACAAAGCTAGGAGCACTCTCTAGTCTCTTTTCCTACTGTTTTATGCTTCCACAGCTTCTGCCAATGACTTCCAGTTACAAGCAATCATGTTTCCACGTGACTCTTCTACAGCCTCCAGAGCCAAAGGACTGAAAAAGGGCTTGATGAGTTCAGTGCATTCTTCAGTGAGAGGTAAGATGTTTGGTTTTAATTTGCTGGAGGAAATCAGCATCAAGGCAAATGACAGGGGATTAGTGAGAACCAGGCAACAGACAGTTGACCTCGTATGTGCGTCCCCCCTCTCAGTAGGTCACATGTGGTTTTTCTTTTGTCTTCCCTGAGCAGAATCTCTTTCTAACTGACCTGATTTGTGTATGGTCTTATGATGGCTTTATTAAAAGTGAGATGTCCAGCAGAAGAAAAATCAGTCTTCTCCCCTTTGCTTTCATCTAGTGATTAGTTGATATGGAAGATTTTGAAACAAAAAGGAATTTACATTCATTATTGTTCAGTGAAATTCATACACAGCTCAACAGCTAACATATACCTAGACTTGGATCCTAGGAATCCTTTGTTATCTTTTAAAGTTGTTATCTTTAACACTTAGAGTCAATTTCTGCTATATTGATATTTTAGAGAAAAACAATGTGCGACTAGAGTTCATGTCAAAATTATATACTTCTAAAGGTAAATACTTCCCATATTATACTAAATAAAGTCACTCTGGAAACTGAAAAACTAGAACTAGTGACATTTATTTTTCTTGCCATTATATGGTAATATGAATTACTTTTATATAATAAATATGGGATTATTGGGTTGAACTTAGGAAATTGGTAAAACATGATTGACATTTATCTGAGTTATTGCACAAAAACATTTATAACATACTGGTACTGTATTTGAAACCAATTTATCATAATTTTCAGATGTATTTATGCTGAAATGTCCTCATTTCCAATACAAGCAGGTTTCAATAAAGATTATGCATACAATTTCAGAATACGCTACAAATGGCTTTCTATAGAAATATTACCTGATTTGTTGTTTTCCTAAAGAAAACAAAGTAAGCAAACTCTCCATTAATGTTAGAAGGCTTGTGCTGTTGTTCTTGGCTTCCAATGTACAACATTTGATTTGTTCTGTCATCAATTTTTTCTCTTTAATAAAAAAGTGAATACATAACCTCTAAGGGTCTGATGCTCATGTGGATCATAAAGCATGTCAGAGTAGTTGTTTTTCTTCGAATGAGAATCCTGGTTCCCTTTTAAATTCTAAAATGTCTGCTCTTTCAGGATAGATTCTATTGAGAGATATCAGAAAGTCACAGATGAAAATCATAATTTACATGAACATTTGCTCAATTTACATGCTAACAGACACCTATATTATTAGGTAGGTCATTGCACACGGGAGAAATTTGTTGTTGTTATTCAGTTGTTTCATCATGTGATCCCATGGACCATAGCATGCCAGGCCCTTCTGTCCTCCCCTATCTCCTGAAATCTGTCCAAGCTCATGTTCATTGTTTCCATGACACTATCTAACCATCTCATCCTCCGCCATCCCCTTTTCCTTTTGTCTTCAATATTTCCCATAGTAAGGATCTTTTCCAATAAGTCCCCATCTTCTCGTTATATGGCCAAAATATCTAAGCTTCAGCTTCAGTATTTGACCTTTCAGTGAACAGCCTGAATTAATTTGTTTAAGTATTGACTGATTTGATCACCTTGGATACAAGGGACTCTCAAAAGTCTTCTCCAGCACCAGAATTCAAAAGCATCAATTCTGTGGTGCTCAGCTTTCCTCATTGTCCAACTCTCACAGCCATATACTGCTACTGGAAAAACCACAGCTTTGACCATAGGGACCTTTGTCAGCAGGTGAAGTCCCTTCATTAGTATGCTGTCCAGATTTGCCATAGCTTCCCTTCCAAGAAGCAAGCATCTTTTATTTTCATGGCTGCAGTTACCATCTGTGGTGATCTTTGAGCCCAAGAATATAAAATGTGATACTGCTTCCATTTCTTCTCCCTCTATTTGCCAAGAAGTGATGGGACCACTTGCCAAGATCTTAATTTTTTTTTTATGTTAATCTTTAAGCCAGCTTTTACACTCTCTTCTTTCCCCCTCATAAAGAGGCTTCTTAATTCCTCTTCAATGTACTATTCTTAAAACTAACCAAAAACCTCTCATATTTTGTATTTTCAATTTAAAGAATTATCTAAAACTGGTTCCTTGTAGAGAAACATACTACTAGAGACCTATATATTGATGGTTCTCCAAATAACTATCACATGGTAGAAATTTGTCCAATTTTAATCCTTTTACAAAAGAACTTGGGTTTTCACAGCCCAGTGTTTATTGCAATAATGTTCTGCATACATAAAAACACTAAACAAAGAATTAGTATCTACCTCAAGTATCTTAGAATCCTAGTGCTGAAAGAAACTTAAGAGGTCAGCTGATCTGAGGTTACTATCTGCCTCCAGAGAAAGAACTAATAAATAAAAGTATATATAGGGTGGTTCTGCATATATATACACATATTTGTATTTAGTGGTAGCCATCTCTAGGACAAGGTGAGGAGGAAGGGAAAAATATGTATATATAAAAAGTGCACAACAGAGAATAAAAGAAAGCTTTAGAAGGAAGCATAGAAAGCAGAATAGCTTTGAAAATGATGTGTAGTACTTATTGTGTGGTTGTTTTTTTAAAGTAACAATGGGAAATGTAAATTCGTGGTTTTATAGTGAATCCTCTTTTTATGTTGTGCTGTGTACATGGAAATATTCTCTTTTTTGTTTTTATGTATTCAAATTTAAAATGAATTTTTTAAATGAACCTAAAAAAAAAGAGGTCAGCTGATCCAACCCTCTCCAGGAAGGATTGTACATTAATTTAGAAAGTTTGTTGTCCCCAGGAAAGATTTCACTAAGAAACCTATTTCTCTAACTGCTTTACTCTATGGTATCCAAACTGCAGACATAACCATATGCAGTGAAAACCATCTTATCTTGATCTTAACACTGACATGTGAATTCCAGAATACAATGACCTTAAAATCATTGCAGTCAGTGCAGTAAATGCACTGATACTTACTACCTGTGTGACCTTGGACAAATCACTTCATTTCTCGGGGCTTTGGTTTCTTCATTTGTAAAATGAAAGGATTAGATTAGATGACTTCTGAGATTCCTTTACCTCTAAAACCCTATGACCTGTACTTCAGCTCTAACTAAATATGAATCATACAACAAACTGGATAAACTTGATTTTGTGATTACAACTTGACAGAATTATTTCAAAGTCAGTTAGAAAAAAAAGAGAGTTTGGCTATTTACTCACACGTGTCGCACTTTTAGTAGTAAGCGTCAGTCTAGAATATCATAAAAAATGCAAATCAAATCCTGATGAAGGATGGCATCAGCTTCCCCAAACTCCGTACTCGTCTCCTCTCTATCAAGACCACCTAGCAAAGATACAGACAAATACATGTGTATGTGTGTATACAAAGTGTATTTGTTTCTACATATATATATATATGTAGACACACACAAACAAACCCAAACCAATATCCCTCCACCTTCCTAAGTTACAAGGACAGTAAATCCCAGGAATTCATGAGAAAATATTTACTCAGGGATATTTTGGAAGATGTTTTGGTAGAGTTTATGATGAATTATTTGGGAAGATGATACAAAAACATACCTCATCTTGTCTTTATGTCTGACTGTCCTAAATGGTCTGATTTCTATGTAATTAGCATATTATTATTATCATTATTATTAATAATAGCTAGCATTTACATGGCACTTACTATGTGCCAGGCACTGTGCCGAATGCTTTACAAATGTTATCTCATTTGATCCTCACAACAAGCCTGGCGGTCGGTGATATTGTGATCCCAGTTTTAAAGTTGAGGAAAATGAGGCAGACAGAGGTTAAGTGCTTTGCCCAGGGTCACACAGGTGGCAAGTGTCTGAGGTGGGATTTGAACTCAGTTCTACTCAGATTTCCCTTACTCTGGCCCAGTGCTCTCTTCATTGAACCACCAGCTGTCCCTCTGAACCTTGGCCTTGCCTAATTTATTACGTTAGTAATAAATTGTCAACCATTGTGGCTTTGCGGTCCAGTTGTTTGGGGCATGAAGATCTTGCTCTCCCTTTTGGGAGCAGAAACCTGTTTTGGTGCTCCACAGAGCCCAGAAAAGGAATGGGTATAAAGTAAGTGCCTAGTAAATAACTGCTGAGCGAATGAAGTACACGTAATCATGATGCAGAAATATACAAACATAACCCGACCAACCCCAGCTGCCCAAACTCACACGTAAGTGCTAAGTAATGAAGAGGTGGGCAGGATAAGGATGGATGGAACTGCCTTAGTAACCAGCTGCAGTGAATTTAGGCAGGCTTCATGGATAAGGGAATCTTAAACAGGAGTCTAAAGTTGAAAACAGGGGAGACAGCTTGGGGGAACAGAAAAAGCACCAGACTAAGGTGGGGGGGGTCAGGATACCTGGGTTCTACTTCTGCCTCTGCTGCTAATTAGCTAGGCACCCTTAGGCATGTCACCTAATCTTTCTGGGTCTCTGTTTCTGCAAAATGAGAGATTAGTGCATGCTCTCTAAAATGTGACTTCTTGAGGACTGGGTAGCGCAGTGAGGAGAACACTGGACTTCCGAGTCAGAAGAGACATGGGGTTGAATCTTGCCTTAGTCATTTATTAGGCATGTGATCACCAGCAAATTATTTAAAATCTCTGTACTTGAGTTACTCCATTTGTATTATATTACTAATAGGACCTACGTCACAAAGTTATTAGGAGAATCAAATGTGATAATGTATGTAAAGCACTTCGTAAATCCTGGTGTGTTATGTAAGCTAGTATTCTTCCAGTTTTTTTAAATTTCACTGATTTAGTGGAGAAGAGTACAAGGGCATTCTAGATGGTAAAAGAGGATATATTGTATCAAGGACAAAAATAAATTTTTGTAGGGGTAGAATGAAATGGGTTGAGGACCAATAGATAGAGAGAGGGGCAGAGGATGGTGGGAACCTTCCTCCTGTGTGACTCTGGTGAAGTCATTTAAACTCTCTGAACCTCAGTTTCTCATGTGTAAAATGGAGGGGTTGGAGTAGATCAGATGTGTCAGAAACTAGGCCAGAGGGCCACATGTGATCAGCAACACTCCCCACTACTGCCCAAACTCAATTAAAATATATTGGTATAATATAAAATATTGGTTATATATATGTGTATATATATACATTTATATACATATATATACACATATATATATCTACCCAATATATAAAATATGGGGTAAAATATTGGAAGATATTTAACAAAATATTTATGTTCCATTGTATTTTTATTTAATGTTAATATGTAGTTTTCAAAGCAATATGTGGCCTAACAGGGATCTATTCTTAGGTACAAGTTTAGCAGCCTCCTTTCTATTTGAGTCTGACCCTACCGGACTGGATGACTTCTAATATTCCTTCCAACTATGTCTATGATGTTATATAGGTATTCAGAAACTACTCCTAACAAAAATAATTCATTTATTAGATTATAGCTCACTTTTTAAAAAAATCTATTTGAAAAATGTTATTCAACTACTATATCCAAATCTAAAATGTTAAAATGAACAATTAACACATTACATTTATATGAACTTAGTAAAAATAACGAGGTTTTATATATTTAAATGTCTGGACTCACTCTCCCAAAGTCAAGTCTGCTACATCTCCACCTCTTAGTTCTACGGCTATGCCTGAGGGATTTGGGTATCTCTTCCCCAAGGTTAGCAGCTCAGGCCCCATTCTAATGTTAACCATCAGTGATCACTCTTCCACTTTCCTTACACCAACTGACATCAATTAACATCAATTAGCTTTTACAACGGGATATTTATTGAGAAGTTATAGCAAAAACAAAAATCAAATCAATAAGCATTTATTAAGTGCCTACTATGTGCTAGCACTATGCCAAGTGCTGGGGATACAAAGAATGGGAAAAGACAGTCCCACTCTCAAGGAATTGACAGTCTAACTTGTTTCGTGGGAGGCACAATATGCAAACAGCTATGGACAAATGAGAGAAGGCACTAGCATTAAGGGGGAACAGGAAAGGTTTTTGCAGAAGGTGGGAAATACAGAGATTCCCCCCCAACACCTGTGGCCACAGTCTCCCTACTTCAGTCCCTGGGGAGAATGGGCTCAAACTTAAAGTAGCATCTACAAAGAATTAGCACTACCAAGTTCACTTCCAAAATTGGCAGAACCCACAGATGAATCACCTGTTAGTCTCCTGTTAGTTGCCTTCCATCCATCCTGGGGTTAAAAAGTTTGTTCCTCATTGCCTAGGCTGGCATGGATTCTGGTTCCCAGACCTTTGGTGGCTTGCCACTCCAACCTTTGGAGGCTCACAAGCATCTCCAACACAGAACAAAAGAGACTGAAACAACAGCAATGTCATGTGCTCGTAGGCCACATGGCACGGGCCTGAGGCCTCCCTCCCTGCTGAGGCCTCATTTGAAGACTCACTTCAGCTAGTCGCTGCCTTTGGAATGTGCCCTGGTCCCAGCTACACAGCCCATCACCACCATACAGCTAGATCCAGTCTATAAGTAGAGGCAGTTAGAGAATGTCTGCATGCTACAAATAAGGAGCTTCCATTACATATCATCATGTCTTTCTGGAAGCAGGCTCCCTAGGCTCTTCCATATGGGCTGGCAGCAGGCAGAGCATGCTAAGTGTTCTCTAAGGATGGAGCACAACTGGCCAGTTCCCTATTAAAACACAAAGAGAGAGAGAGAGAGAGAGAGAGAGAGAGAGAGAGAGAGAGAGAGAGAGAGAGAGAGAGAGAGAGAGAGAGAGAAAGTGTGTGTGTGTGTGTGTGTGTGTGTGTGTGTGTGTGTGTGTGTGTGTGTGTGTGTGTGTTGGGGGTGGAGGTGTTGGGAAATTTCTGTCCCTATGGAAATAACCATCTTTCTTATGTCCATCTGTCTCCATAATTCCTCCAGCCTCAGAGTACCTCTCCTAATCTTTTCTGTATCCTAGAGAAGGATGGAAAGCAGGGAGTGCAGAAAGACAGCAGCAGCGCTTACGTGGCCAGTGCTAGTGGATACATACTAGGGGCTTTCACAATAGCAGTTAAGATTGAAACTCTTCCAGTTGTGGGCCTGTGTCATATTCTTATCCCTGTCTCCACTTATGCATTCCTTTAATTCCAAAACATCACAGAAAGTTTTACAATTTTAGACATACTCAAATTTCAGCATATATTCACTTTTTTTTTCTGCACCACTGAAATGTTAAACCTCACCCCCCATGGAAAGATGACAGTGGGCTATTATAAAAGTTTAGAACAATAAGAGCAACCTAGTCAAGAAATGACAATAATTGATAGTGTTCAAGTCCCAAGGAGAAGTTTTCTAACCACACACTTTTCCTTAAGAAATGTTAAATTTTACAAATAACCCAACTGTATTATAGGAGATCAAGCACTGAGAACAAAGCACCTGAAGGGAAGATTGTGCTTGGAAGAAAAGCTTCTAAAGCTGTTTTGGAAGCCACCGAAGAGTTTATAGATTATAAGAGTACAACAAACAATGATTTTTTTCAAATGGTTTAAGCATTTATCATTTATAGGAATATAAAAACAAAACAAAACCCAGAAATATTTAAAATATCTGAGAGAAAGGTACAGCTGGTTGCTATGTTTGGCTTTTTGTCCCCAAGAGAGATACGGCAATGGGAAACGCAGAAAGAAAGGATCCTCTGGGGTTCTCTTTTTAAGCTTTAGTCTGTCCTTTTAACATTACAAATGGGTGTGTATTCACAAGAATCACCATGCTTGGCAAAGATTATCAACCCCAATGGTAGTTATGCCATTCTTCCCTAATCCATACCTAAGATTTAAGAAAAGGAAGAACATATAAGAAGAGTAAAGGCATTTGTATTGATCAGTCAATCAATAAGCATTTATTAAGAACTTATTATGTGCTAGTCACCATGCTAAGTGACTAAGGAAACAAAGAAATACAAATACATAGTCCTGTTTTCAAAGAGCTCACATTCTAACAGAGAAAACATGAAAATAACCACGTGCATACAAAAATATATACAGTATTAATGGAAAGTAATCTTAGGGGGAAGGCAAGGTATGTGTTGGGAGGATAAGAGGAACGACACAAAAGACCTCTTGAAGAAAGGATTTGTGTTGAGTGTTGAAGAGATGAGGAGAGTATTCTAGGCATACAAGCAATAGAAGCAGGCTAGTATAGCTGAACCATAGAGTGTATGGAGGGGATTAAAGTGGAAAATGACTGGAAACGTAGAGGTACTTAGAGGTAATAGACAGTCACTGGATTTTACTGAGTAAGGGAGTGAGTGACATGATCAGACTTTCATTTTAGGAAGATCACTTTGGCAGTTGAGGGGAAAGTGGATTAAAGTGGGGAGA